TTTGCATCTTAATTAGGTTGAAACAGTCCATTCTCAATGCAAACAGTGGCAGCAAGAAAAAGAAGTAGAAGTAACTACTATATTACATTAAAATAAGAACTAAACTAAATAAACATTTCAAGGAGAAGAGATGATGCAGTAAATGGTTTACAATAAGTTATATTTTCCAACAATAATGATAAATATAGTCAGTGGCTAGTTTAGCTACCAGGAAAGAATAGAGTGAAAGGCTAGTTTACCTAATCGTAGGTTAGGTCAAGTCCATGTCAGTATGAGTACAATACCAGGGCTATATTAATCTAATTCAAAGTGGTGTCTTCCTAAGAATAAATGATTAATTCTTAGGCAGTGAAATATTATAGCTAATTCTACTATATCATAATTCTCTATTCATTTAAAGAGAGTTTCTTATTGCTTAAATAAAAAAATAGCATCAATATTACCTTTATTTCAGAACAAAAGTTATACATTATATGGTATCAAATGCTTTCGTATAATGGGAATGAGCTTCAACAAATATTGAAGTGGAATGTGAAAAAGACAAATATAAAAAAATTTTTGAAAGAAGGCAAAGTGAAAACTTGCAAGTACAGCAGCGTTTTCCATAATACAGTCAAAAGTCGTTAATTCGGACACCCATAATCCGGACCTCAAAGCTAAAAACTTTCTGCGCATGCGCCGCATTGGCACATGCGCACAGGCGTTTTACGCGTGCACGTAAGACCTTGACTACTGCGCATATGCATGTGCACAAGTGCAGAATATGTTTTCGCCTGCACGTTTAATGTATAACGGACGGTGTAAGCTAAAATTATCAAATTATCTATTTCAGTTAATGTTAATGATTGCGTTGTTCCTTAATCTTCGAATTGGATCCTGCTTATTATTTTTTGCAGACTGTAAGAGCAATTTTATAAAAGTAAACTTGAACTTTCGATTTTGTCAAATAGAATTTCCGATGCTTGCTTGAATTCCAAAGGATCTACAAAACGAAAGTATGTTTCGATGTCCAACAAACAAAAAGTGGAATTGCTGCAAAAAACGGGTAAAAAAGGGTAAAGACATGAAGAATGTGACAGAGAGGTTAGTGAAAACGAAAAAAAATTTCGATTGACAAGTTAGTCGGTATTCTCGGCACAGCAATTAACGGGACTTGAACAGCGGAACTTTGTAAATGAACAAGAAATTATGTTTGTTTATAGAATTAAAGAGAAAGTATTATCACATAAAACGAAGCAACTTAAACAACTTACATTGAAAGAAATGTTTAATAAAGTAAACAAATAAATATTAAGCTTTTCTTTTTGTAAATTTTGATATCCTTTAGATCATAATTGTTCTTTATTTCATAAATTACGGTTTCATATTTTTAATTTTAGAATTTCTGCAAGCCATCTTACGAGATTTAAACTGATGATCTATAATCCAGAAAAATCGATAATCCGGAATCGCCGAAGTCCCGACAAGTCCGGATTAACGACTTTTCACTGTATTCCCCTCAGAATTAATGTAATAAATTTTGCCTTCAAAGTTAACAAATCAATTTTTTTTAAAAATTTTGTTAGACGCTATTATAATTTAATAAAGACTGTGTAATAGTTTCATGATGTTGATGATATATCTTTGCCACTACCTATGGGATAATGACTGCATATTTAACATCATTGTAGAAAGAATTCACATTAATCTTATCGTTTGATTTTCTTTATCTTAGATAAAGATTCATCTGATCTTTCATTTGATTGTAATTTACATTTCTTTTCTTGCTTGGTTGAAAAGAAAAAGTATTAAAATTTCGAATTTGTTATTAATAGAGAAAGATGTTGTGCCTTATTATCTCTGAATTAGCAATACAAAAATGGGCACAACATAATATTATATTTGAAATTAGATGAAGTAGTGCAATGATGTAGAACAGTTAATTTTTTTTTAATGCTGGGAAATATGAAAAATCAGCTGTGGTTTTACCAGGATTTGACTTCAAGTTATTAGCTAGGTGTGCTTCCAATTACACTATGAAGGCAAGTGGCAAGGAAAGAGAAAATTCCTTACAATGTTTATAACTGGGAAGGGGGGGAAAGATAAAATTCTGATAGGATTTTAACATCACATCAGAAGGTTTGTGAAGTTTAAGCTCTCACTGAGTTCGTGTTTTGCCAGCCTGTTCTTGGGCTCATTTTACTAACACAACTTTTTTGTCCTTTTAACTTTTAATATTAAACATAGTTTTGCATTTGTGCCACATAAAATTCAATAGTAAAAACACAATTTTAAAAAGCAGCATAATTTTAGAATTCATATAATATTAAGTGTTACCATACAATTTTTGATTCTTTTCAAGTTTTTCTCAGTTTTTCATAGCAGTGTTCATTTTTCTTAATAAGATTACCTATGCAATTTTTTTTGTCTTTTTAACTTTTTTATTAAATATCACATTCTTTGCATTTTGTCTTCATATATAATTTAACATCAAAATCACAAAATTTTTGAAAGCAGAATATATTAAGAATTCATGATTCAGTGTTAAGTGTTGCCTTTAATTTTTATCAGTCTTTTTTGGTTCATCATGTCAGTGCTAAGTTTTGTTATTAATATGAATTACACAACTTTTTTAATTATGAACTTTTTATTTATTTATTTATTAAATACCACTTTCTTTGCACTCATGCCTCATGAAATTCAGCAGCAAAATCACAAGATCTTTAAAAATGTGATATTTTTGTAATTCTCAATATAGTAAGTGCTGCCATCCTTTTTTCTTTCCTTCTGGGTATCATATTTCAACAAAAATATCCATTTTGACCGCTCTTGAATGCAATTTAACAATGTTTTTCCTAGAGATCTGCACGTAAGGACAGAATAAAGGACTGTTTTTCCCCAAAGGAATTATAAAAATGATTTAAAATAGATTCAGAAGAGATTTTTTCGTGGCATCCGTATGTACGTATTTACATATGTATGTATGTATCTCGTATAACTCAAAAACGAGTAACCTCAAAACATTGAAATTTTGTATATAGGACTGCTATAATATGTAGTTGTGCATCTCCCTTTTTGGTTGTAATCGGCCACACCAAAAGAATATACCCACTCTGTTACTCGGCTCAGTGAGCTCATTTTTAAAAAATTTTTTGCATGTTGGTAAATTGCACATTTTTTGCTTTAAAAATGATCGAATTATGTTGTTCTTATCTTCTGGTTAGTTTTAATGCCTTTAGTTAATCTACATGCAGTAGTTTTAAAATTATCAATAATTTAAAAGTTGTTTATGTGCACCTAAACCTAATTTTTTTTTAATCATAGCAGCCATATTTGTTTACGTTTGAAACTTAGCAGAATAGTGAATTCAGCTTCAGGACCTTTAATGTCATTTTGCCGAGTGGGACCAAAATTAAACTTTCATTTTTGTGCAGCGAAAAATCAGCCTTGTTGGCTGCTGGCCAAATCACTTCTTTTTGGGTAGAATATTTAATTTTAATTGTAAAATTTTTTTTATTGTTTTAATTGTATTTTTCAATTTTTTAATGAAGATATTTTGAGGTTATATGTATTTTTGCCTTACCGGAAACAGAGAACCAAATTAATTGAATGAGAAGTATATCTCTAATGAAATTCGAGGAAATAAGTTTATATGAAATGCAGCAAAAAGTGCATATAATTTAATATTCTGTACAAAGAAGTCATGTGGTGTACACATCAGATTTTTTATATTTGCTGTATTATTTCTTCTAAAAATAGATTAATAAACAAATCTACTATTTTAATAAGCAAAGAGTTGAAACAGAATGACACACTTTAAAATATGTTTGTCAACAATATTTGAAAGCAAGAACATTGTTATAAAACATAAAACAGCATATTTAATTTAAGGGTGGCCAATGAGTTAAAAAAATCAACTAAAATCGCTTGAAATGACATTTTATTTTTATTCCAGTATCTCTGCATAAATTCACTTTAATTAGAATCAAATGAAGTGTGATGCGCCAGAAGTATTGAAGTAACACATATATTTTTCTGCAGAATATTATTTGGTACTACTATCTTCCTGTAATAGAAATATTGTTTTCCTGTGGAAAAGGTTAAAAAAAATTTTAGTGAAGACCAGTCTAGTTGCCAGTGAAGAGCATTAGTATATCCAGGAATGTGATAAGCATTATAAGAACTTTCAAAAGATTTTTGTAACATTTTAAGTTATCTTCTTCAATTTATTAACAGTGGTTACCTATGCAATAATGTAAAAGTGGTTACCTATGCAACTTTTAAGCAAAAAAACTTTTCACATATAATTTGAAGGCCTTTCTGTTGGTTGCATCAAAATTTGTTTGCATTTTTACATGCAGTTTTATCCTGCAGTTTGCTTTAAAATCAAATATAAGATATAGTCTGCTTCATGGCAGTGCCAAAACTGATTAGAATTTATTTTAAATAGTTTTAGAGGGACATCTATAATGAATAAAATAAAAGTTAGTCTGTTTTATTTTTAATATGATTTTCCGGTTGTGGTTAAGTCACAACCCACTTGTCTGACAGTAACATCAGAAAAAGCTGATGAAATTCTTCATGGCAAGGAGTGCAAGCTTGCATCTGTTATTGGTAAGAGCTTTGAGCATCATACAGGTGACAGCACGACATTGCTCAGTTCTTTCCCCAGTTTTGAGGAAGAGCACATGGAGCGGGACGGATCTGAGGATTGCTCACCCCTGTTCCCGTACCACCAACTTCTGGTGAGGACCTTTCATCCCACTGCATATTTAGAATGCTTCATGCTGCATAGACACTATACATTTACAAACATCTATGCCTTCTCTGGGATTCGAATCCGGGCCCTTTAGAACAACAGACAACATCGCTAACTACTATCCCAGTTGAGTAGCTGATTTTCCTTATGCCAATTATATGAAATGATATGACTACCCATCAAAGTTTTTTTTCTCATGCTTTTGTTAGTTTTAATGTATTAATTCTGCAAATAAAATATGGAATTTAAATATAATTCATAGATATTTCTGATGGAGGATCTAGTCATATAGCAGAGACAGTTACTGAGCTTAAAAAAAGGTAAAGTACTTAATAATATCCCAAATATAGTTCTTATCTGTTATAACAGTGTGTATCCTTTAAATAAAAAAAAATTTTTAATGTAAATTAGAGTGCACTTCAGTGTTTTATTAATGATAGATACATATAAAAGGATCTTTGAGCTCATGCAACTTAGTTAATGAATTTAAAATAGCTTATCAAATTGCATAAGTACATTTTAAAAAAAAAATAATGACATAGTAATAGTAATGTTGGCATGTAATGTAAAAATGTTGGCATAGTAATAGTAAGTTACTAAAACTATTAAGTATTTCTTTTGGGTGTTGGGCAGGCTAAAATAGAGTTTTGCCAGTCTGAATTTTAAAATTGGATTCATATTGTCTGGATTGTAAAATGGAATTGTATAAAGAAACTCTGTATAAGAAAATAAATAAGTAAAAAACAAAGTTTGCATTTCTTATTGATTGTAAAATTGGATTATATAAAGAAATTCTGCATAAGAAAATAAATAAGTAAAAACAAAGTTTTTGCATTTCTTATTTTGTATTCTTAAATGAAGATCTGAAATTAATAATTTTGAATTAGACGAAATAAGTAAGATAATTAGAGGTTATAAGAATGTGGGGGGATTGGTTAGGTGAGAAGTTTTTTAATAAAGAAATTTTATTTTTCTCATATAATAGTGAACGTATGTAAACCAAGATCTGAGAATTAAAAAAAAAAAAAAAAAAAAATACTTTAAAAGTGCCATCTTTTGTCAATGAATGAGAAAGTAGTATTTTGTTCAATAACCAGGACCATAGCTAAAGCCAGTATGACCAAAACAGAATGAATTTGAATTTGAAGATGTAGAAAAGCACTGCCAGAATTTATCAGAGATTATATCAGATGACAGAAAGCATAGCACTATATCTGAACACACTTCCATCTGTATGGAAAAAAGAGAATTAGTACCATATAATAAAATACTGAGGTCTCAAGGATTAGAATTTGTATTATTTATTAAAGCAATATATTTCTGCATTTATAGAGAATTTCAGAATTCATTTCACTATTTCAAGTTTTTTAGATTGGTTGAAGAAATTAAGTATGTAGCAGAGATATAAACAAAAGAGGTGATTATTTTAATGAATTTTTAATAAAAAAATTTCTGAGCCTTTTTTTAATGCAAAATTTAATGTTTAAATCATTTTGTAAAGAATCCTATTAATCCCTACAAAATCGTATATGTATAAATATGAGAAGTCTTCAGCTTACAATGAGTGCCATTACAACAGTCCTGTCTTATGTCAATTCTGATGTAAGTTAGGGACTTATTTTATTCTTGATACTATTATTAATATTTTTATAAATTGAGCTTTTTTAAACTTAAGGGGGCAATAGTATATAAACTTACATGACATAAACAATTTATTTTATGCTTATTTTATATTATTTTATGATTAATTTTTATATTAATTAAGCATTAATATTAACATATCTCCTTTCTTTAAATGGGTTAACATGTATAAAAACTAATAAATGGTGTCTTTATTTAAAAACAGTGAGTGAGTAACTATTATTCATTTGGACGATTCTTTGCAGCTAGGAGCAATTCCTTTAATCAGAAAATTTGTTAATGTTGCTGGTTTTTATTCATTTTCTTCCCTTCATGTATTTCATATTAATATTTAATAGCTTCTTGAATTTACTTTTCAACTTGAAATGATCAGTGTTTTAATCTATATTTTTTCAGTAAGTGATATCTGTGAACATACTGCATGGTTGCAAAGGTTAAATGGCCTTGTTGAGAATATCCTGGGAGTTAAAAAAATCCTATGGCATCATCTCCGACTAAGTTCAATAGAACTACAACTTCTAACATATCTACAAGTTCTTTTTTGTTGTTACTGGATACTTTCATGCTTATAATTAATAATTACTTGAACTTGTATTAGTTATAGTTGTACTAGCAGCCCCAATTCCATTGCTGATTTATGCTATGAACTGCTGTATGTTTGAGAGTAATTATGCTATGTTGCATTTTCACTTTGAGCAAAATATTAGAGCACATTCATTAACAAAATCACATATATTTATTAATATTAATTAAAATAAGTTTATACTACAAGACATCTGCAACATTCAAACTACGTTTTGTAAGCTACAGTCTTTTGTTGCTAGGAAAGTATGCTCTGTTACAGTAAACAAATGTGTTATTCCCTATACTGTTTCTCACATTCATGTTTTGCATGAAATAGATGTCATATTTGCGTCCATATTTTAATGTTCTTTCATTTCAGGGCTTTTTGCACTTTTTGAATGATCTCTGTAATGCATGCTGACACAGAATGCTTATATTTTGTGAAACTGGCAGTATTAATGCTGAAATGATTTATAATTTGCCATTTGCATTGTAGGAAAGCTATTTAGGATACAGGTTTTGTTGCACTGTTCTGTAGCAATTGGCATTTGCATACATGATGTCATTTCTGTTTTCTGAGCATTTGTAAATTGATCTAACATATGAAAATTATGTTTTGCAACTAATGAGATTTCTGAAAACATACACTTATAAAGAACATAAAAATGGCACTTTGTATCATTTTCTTGTGTCATTTCCTACCATATATTGTATTGCAATAAATGCTCATCTTGGTGTGTTCTTTTATTAAGTTTGTTTCATGAATTTAGAAATATTTTGCTTATTTCAGTAAGTATATAAATAAATAGTCTTTGTTAAAAACTTGTTAATTCTTAAAATTTTTTTAACTAGCTTTAATTTATATATTTTCTAATCAAATGCATTTTTATAATCGATTTTTCAATAGTGAAAATGTATTTTTATCATTTTAATGTTTATGAAAAGAAATATGGCTGAAACTAGCTGGTATTTTTTTATTAGCAATTAGCTTTTTTAGCCTTTGCTCTAGGTTCAGATTTGAAATTGGAGGAGGGAAGTAAAATAGAAGAAATCTTTTTCTGCTAACAAGATAAGAATTTTTTTTAATTGCTGCCAAGAAAAGGGTGGTAGATTTGACCATTTATTAAAATCTGATGTCATTTAGTGAATTTTGCTAACAAAATGTGTGAATTCTTAAAACTTAATTGCTGCTCAAGTAGTGTTTTAACATTTTACTAAAAAATCCTAATTATAACGTAGCTTAACAATGCTGTCAGATTTCAAACAAATTTATAACTGCAACAAAATGAATAATATAAGGGAATTGCACTAGCTAATTAATCATTCATGTAAAACAAGTAATAGTATTATTTCATTGAATTGTGTCAACTTGATTATCATATCAAGTTTGCATAAGTTTTTTTGTGTGCATCAAATTTAAATATTTTATTTTTCAAATTCATTTTCTCATCTCCTTTTCTATCAATAACCTGCATAAATTATGCATTCATTTTTAATGAAAACTATTGTAATCTAATGTGCATACCAAAAGTTTTTTTTATTAGATTCATGAATTTTTATTTCATTCCTGCTTAATTTTATTGTTTCAATATTAAATTACAGATGGGCTGAAATTAGAACATATAAAGCCAATTCATTAGTTTTCATAGCTAATACTTATTTAGTTTATTCTTGATTAAAAAATGTGATAGTCAATGAATTGTTTTATTAGTAACATTTATAAACAATATTTATTTAACAGTATAATATGTATTGTTTATTTCTTATTAAGTGATTATTTTGTACTTTATCATTCCTTATTATGTAATTCCCTCTTAGTGGTTAGAGATGTAAAATTTGAAATCGTTTTGTAAAATTCTACATTAAAAACTAATGTAAATATTATATTTTTATTTTATTTAATTATTTCTTTAAATAGGAAACCAACAATATTAGTGGAATGCCTAACTCCTGATTTTAGAGGTGATTTACATGCTGTAGAGGTAGTAGCATTAAGTGGCTTAGAAGTATATGCTCATAATATTGAAACTGTTGAACCTCTTCAAAGGTATGTCTGGGAAACTTACTGCAGTTTGTAAGTTGTTAACCTTAATTTTAAAAATATTTTCAGGTCAATAAATTGTGGGTAATTGAATTTGTGGATGCAGAGGCATTACTCATTATACATCTTTATTCTTATGTTAAGTAACATAATTGATTGTTTTGAATGAATTGAAGAAAGCTTATTGTAAGGGATGACTCAAATGTTAGGAGTGATATTTATTGCAAGTTACAGAAAATAAATTGACAGGTAGAGTTTTAGAGAACTGAAAGGTTGATTTAAACCTTAAGAGTGAGATAATATGAATCATTGTAAAAAAATATAAGTGACAAAAAATTTACAACCAATTCACCTTTAATTATTTTTAAGTCATGATTAATTTAAAAGATAAATAATATGCAGTCTCCTTGAAGTTGTTACAGCAAATCAAAGTAAATGGAAATGCCACTGAGGATGCCAATTATATAGTCATGACTATATTATCAGAGATAATTGAAATGTACAAGAATCCCCATATTTTATTTGAAAAGTATTTCAAACATTCACAAATTCTGTATGAAATGGAATGGAAATGCTTTATAACACATAGTTTGTTTTAAATAAAGGTGTCTTATTTCTACCTTTAGAAAACAGAGTTAATATTAAGTTAGCTAACAATTTTAATGTATTAAAAGTAATACACAATTAGCATACTGTTTTAATATTAAATATTTATTCTTCTAAAATATGAAGACATTTCTATTTTAGAGACATTTATATATATTAAGACATTTATATGTAAACGTAAAATTGTTTGTAATATTTTGGTAATGCCAATGAGAGTGTCTTACATAATGTTTTTTCTGGTGTTTATGTAAAAAAAAATATCCAGTAGTAGATTAAAAAATAACTGAAAATGCCACATCAATACAACATCTATTCAGCATTATACCATTTAACCAGAAAATGCATGTGCAGTAGAATATAGTGTTACAGTTTCTGTATGATTTAATAATAAAAATAATAGATTATTATTATTATTAAATCATACAGATAATTAGCTATTTTTAATTAGAATTAATTAAAATTGTTTTATATTACTGTGCAATTTGCATGAGACTTATTTGAAGAGAAAGCTACACTGGAAAAATTATAAATACAGGAGCATGCGCATGTAATAAATAGATGTCGTAATTGTACGCTTTTTTTGCTTTTCAGGAAAAATCAAGAAAATGCCAGAATATTCTCATGCTGATTAAAAAGCTTATAAAATGTAGGAGAAAAACATCTCAGTTCAGTTGTTTATTTTTTTTCTGTTAATGATTGTAGCAAATTCGCAGTGAAATCAGATTAGCTTTTTCCATTTTCAGTTAACTTCTGTTGAACATTCTAGTAATTTAAAATATAACTACTGTTTGATATTGCAATATTGTACGCATATCTGTGGAAATTTAAGCATTTTGTTTTATTTGTTGTGATAATAATAAATTTTATTCACTTTTCTTCAGACTTGCGCATTCAATTTATTACGAACCCATTTTATGCATGCAACACTTTTTGGTGTCAGAAGTGGGATTTTGAATGCCAATTACAAGAGCGATGGAAGAACAATTAAGGCAATTGATAGCAACCTTTGCTTCATTCAAGGAAGAGATGAAGGCAGTTTAAGAAAAGATGAAAGCTGGTCAAGATTTTATTAAAGAGGTAATGAAAGCTGTTCAAGAAAGATGGAAGCTATTAAAGATGAAATGAAGTGGGCCAAGAGGAAATCAAAAGAGAAATCATCTGTATAACAGAAAACAAATTTGAGGCTATGGAAGGCAGAATTGACACTGTCCAAAATAAAGTTGTACAAATTGAAGATAAAGTTTTTTCTGTCAAACATCAAATAGGAGAGAGAGTATTGACTGTGGAGCAACGGATCAAAGGAAGAGTTTCAACTGTTCAACAAGAAATGGAACAACCAACTGAAAAAAGTTTTTCTACCATCCAAGGACATATTGAACAACAAACTGAAGACAGAGTTTCTGCTGTCGTCACCAAAAAGTTGACACACTAAAGAAATGCATAGCGACAATAGGAAGCAATTTTAGCGGTTTTAAATTTTTACCGATGCCTACTCGTCCCTCTCTAAAGCTATCCACATATGATGGAAAGACCTCCTGGCAAGTATATAAGACACTGTTTTCTATAGTGGCGGAAGCAAATGGATGGGATCCCCAAGCTAAGGCTTGTCGTCTCGCCACTTCTCTGGGAGCAGATGCAGGGACATCCTTCAGATAAATCCAAAAACAAAAGGCTAGATTTTGAAGCCCTTTCTGGGGCATTGGAGCTGCACTTTGGCAAGAATTGTTTAAAAGACTGCAGCAGGCTTTAGTTAAAATCCAGTCAATAGAAGCCAACAGAAACACTCCAGGAGCTCGCCAAGGATGTTGAAAGGCTATCTCACCTAGACTTTCAAAGTGCCCGACAGAAACAAGGGAAATCCTGTCACTGCAATACTTCGTCGATGGCATTCGGGATTTAAAAATACAGAACGTTGTGTGAATGGCGGACGTGAAGGACATAAAAAGCGCTCTCTTTTGTACGCTGTGAAATTTGAGGCAGTGCAGCAAGCAACTCTTAGAGATTGCTACCCAGTCAGAGCTGTGCAAGTCCAAGAGGCAGTGGATCAATTGAGGGCTCGCTATCCAGACAAATCAAGACTTTAATAGAGTAGGAGTGAGAACAGACGGGCTCTAAGGTGTTGGAGATGTGGTGCTGAAGGCTGCATACGACGGCATTGCAGAACACCCCAGGCATGGAAAATAAAGCAGATGATTCGACAAGACCAGTGAATGCCTTGAAACAGAATATTGGTGAAAACAAACTGACCCTAAAGTGCTGGAACTGCAGTGTTGGAGGGCACCTATGAAAGAACTGCAGAATGCCCCAGAGCACGGAAAATAAGACAGAGGAGTTAAACAGACTATCAATTGCCATGTGACGGAAAAGGAGTGACAAGAAACCATAGTGCTGGAACTGGAGCTGAAGGCCACATATGAAGGAATTTCAGAACACCCCAGGTTGCAGAAAATAAGACCATTTCCCAGCAACGACGCAGGAAACAAATTAATGATCATATTGCGGAGCGGAGTTTGAACCATAGTGAAAACCATTTTTGTTCCACCAAAGCCCAGTTTTGTCGGCATTGAAAACTTGAACTGCTGTGTATCTTTGTTCTATAATATTTTGAAATTTTTCAGGAAACGTCCTAGCAGCTTCACAATTAGCCGATGCAAATTCATCTTGAATGATTATGCTATGAATTGCAAAATGCTTTTTGAAATTTTTGAACCAACCTTTACTTACCAGAAAATCTGGGTTGACAAAGAGTTCTTCATGTTCTTTGAGGTGCTTGAAAATTTTGAGTGCTTTTTGTTTAATGATATTACCATCCAATGAAATTCATTTTTGACAGCTATCATCAATCCAAATGCTGAGTGCCTTTTCTATCTTCTCCATTGCTGGTGCCCTGTGGGCGAGCTGCACGTTTTGCAGATGTTGAAGATCCTACAACAACTGCACTTCTTATTTCTTTTTCATTTTCCTTAAGAGGTCTAGACTGTTTCTTCAATCCAATTAAAACTTTTTCCAATGTGAGATGCCTTTTCTCCTTTTAAAAGACGGTCCAAGATTTGTATCTGTACTTCTAAAGAAATGAATTTCCTCTTAAATGTTGTTTTTTATCTTTATCGGACATGTTTGGAGACTGAAACTTAATGTCTTAAAGACGAAAAAGTTATTCTTTAACACACCGTGCCTCGGCGCAGACTGCTGAGGCAGTGTGAAACACTTTTTTTTACGAATTTTGGAAGCTGAGCCTAGCAGTGTGTGATGTGAACACTTTTGTTTTCAGGCCATGGAGACGAGATTCGATTCGAACCAAGCCCACGTGGTTGTCGAGGTGTTTTGGAGTCAAACTTAGGTTGTGACTAGAGTTGTTCTTCATGTTGTTTTCAGCCATAGTGAGGTTTCTTCATTCGTATCTGTGGACATTTGTTCATCTGAGGACATTTGTTAGGACAGGTAGCAGATCTTGGAGGACAGCTGGCTGAATTTACGAAACAAGGATTCTTATGTGTTAAATGATATATGGGTGCTTTTTATAATATGGAGAAAATTCGTGCGGAGTTCGTTAAATTTCTTAGATTGCTTGGGCAATTTTCTTATCATGTTAGAGCAAAACTGTGTTGTAGGGAAACCATGTTGTAGGAACAATTTATGAATAATGTTATAGCGAAACTGTGTTACAGGATATCGTGTTGTAGGAGGGCTACCTGCATTTGAATTGTTTTAAGTTACTATTGCAATTATTGTTTATATTGTTTGTATTTGTAATGTATATTATTGCATTGAAGCCTTAGTTGTAAGTTTAGCTTCCTGTCGAGGGACTGTACTGCCCAGGACATGCAGTCCTTGGGAAGGGGGCAGTGTTATGTTTTTTGTATTGATTTAGCTATTTTTAAATAGAATTAATTAAAATTGTTTTATATTACTGTGCAATGCAGCATGAGACTTATTTGAAGAGAAAACTATGCCGGAAAAATTAAAAATACAGGAGCACGCTCATTTAATAAGTAGATATCTCGTAATTGTGCACTTTTTCTTTTCGAGAAAAATTGAGAAAATGCCAGAATAATCTCATCCTGATTAAAAAGTGGGAGAAAAACATCTGAGTTAAGTTGTTTATTTTTTTGCTTTTAATGATTGTAGCGAATTTGTGGCAAAATTGAATTAACTTTCTCTGTGTTGAATTAAGTTCTTTTGAATGTTCTAGTGTAGTTTAAAATATAACTACTGTGAGATATTGCAATATTGTATGCATATCTAGAAATTTAAGCATTTTTTTAATTTGTTTTGATAATAATAAATTTTAGTCACTTTTCATCGGACTTGCGCATCTAGTTTATTACAAACCCGTACACATGCAACAATATTATTATATAATATACGAGTTGTTTCTAAATTGATAACTTTTGTTTTAGATACATTCGAGATCCAAGAGCAAATTATGAACAATCAATTGAAGTCCTTAGACATGCCAAAAGAGTAAAAAAACAATTAATTACAAAAACATCCATTATGCTTGGTTTTGGAGAAACAGACGATATGGTTAAAGCAACTATGGAAGGTCTGTAAATTATAATTCAAATTTTTACTGTAAATATGGGATCAGTTTTTTTCAATTTCAGGTATTAACTGCTTTTCAAAGTTGCTGAAGATACATATTAAAAAAGAAAATTCTGCATATACAGAATTATATTTTGCTTAACTTTGGCAATTAACTTTTTCAGTAGTTGTATGTTTTTTTATTAAAAATCATATTCAGATGTAAATAACACTAGTCAGCAAAAAAGAATTCAGAGTTATTTTTGTTTTTCAAACTTCATCGTTTCCTTTTAGCATTGTGGGCATTGATGGAAAAACGAAATCGAAACTAAACAGCCAGAGCAAATGCTTATTTTGGTCTTAAAAGGAAAAAGCATATTTATTTTTATAATTTCCATACTTATTTGCAACATATTACTTATTGTTTTGACATAAAAATAACAAGCTTTTTAAGAAATAAGGCAACACTTATCATGAAACAATCCAAGGAACAACTTTTTGAACTCCACTCGCTGTTGCCACACAGCAAATCTTAATAACTATGCAAAAACATTACATCATGTTGCCAATTAGAAAATCTTAATAATTATATAAAAACATTAAATTACATTCCACTATAGTATCTCGTGTGCCGAAAATGGTCATATGATCTTGCTCGTGAGCGTGTTGCCATTATTACTTATAAAAAGAAGCATATACCCTGATATATATATAGAGAGAGAGAGAATAAAAATGTGTAATTCAGCTTCATAATTAAATTTATTAATAGTTTCTTAATTATTCATTTTTAATTGGATAATTCCTCTCTGTATTCCCAAAGTAGTAGTAATTTTCCTGACTGTGCCATTTCTAGATTCATCTATGCCACAGATTTTGCATAAAGCTGATGATATAGCTTATTCAGAACTTGAATTCAAAATTTTGAGAACTGAAACCTTTCTGACCTAAACCAACCTTCCTCTTGGTCATCTTCCATATTGGATAAATGCACCTTTTAGTTTCAACATCTGTGCTGCTTGGATGCTGTTTTGCTATGCTTTCTTCCTATTGCAATAGTAACAAAAATGTAAATGTTCTGGAAATAGGCACAGTTAGAGTGCCATGTAAATTGGGGAGCCACAAATGTCAATTTAAATAAAAATGGAATTTAATCCGCCTTGACTGTCAAGTTTCCTATTCATTATGGATTAGCTTTCTATGCAATCAGAATTATCCTCTTCAATATACTTTCTCAATATACTTTACTACATTCTGTGAATTGTATGTGCTTCACAATTAGTATTTCTGCATTTCTACATCTCAGTGTTCCTACATCAGTACTTCTAAATTCATTCTCATTACAATGGAGTTTCAATTTATAATTATCTATGCTAATATGACATTTAATTATATACAGTCAGAAGTCGTTAATTCGGACACCCATAATCCGGACCTCAAAGCTACAAACTTTCTGCGCATGCGCATAGGCATTTACGCGTGCGCATAAGACACTTACGGCTGCGAATATGCGTGTGTGCATGCGCATAATACATTTACGCATGCACACTTAACGTATAACGGACGGTATAAGCTAAGCTAAAATTATCTAATTCAGTTAATTTTTCAGATTGCGTTGTTCCTTAATCTTTGAATTGGATCCGGCTTATTATTTTTTGCAGACTGTTAGAGCAATTTTTATAAAAGTAAGCTTGAACTTTCGATTATGTCAAATAGAATTTCCGATATATATTTACTATGTAAAGGATCTACAAAGTGAAAGTATGTTTCAAAATCCGAAATCTGTTTATCAATTTCACGCTGCTCTGCGGCAAGGGGGGGGGGTCGCCGCGGCGCGCAATGAATTGGAAGTTGATCTGTCAGCACTATCCTTATCTTCAGGGCAGATGTTTTTATTTTATTTGGCTTATAATTCCCTACTAAATGTAGTTTTTCATCTCGATGTACTCCGTCTTTGATATGATTTAAATCAAGTTCCTCGTCATTATAATTCGCTTCTGATAGTGAAGAAAGTGACACAGAGGTTATAGAAAACGAAAAAATTTTGTTTGACTAATCAAAATTATGGGGCATAATTTTAATTACCTTTTAGCATTGTTGGCATTGTATTATAGTTGTTTAGCATTGTATTATTGGCTAATACCGACTAATTTGAGTCGGTATTCTCGAAACAGCAATTATAGGACTTGAACTGTGGAACTTTGTAATTAAACAAGAAATTATGTCTGTTTAATAGAATAAAAGAGAAAGTATTAACACATGAAACGAAGCAACTTAAACAACTTACATTGAAAGAAATGTTTAATAAAGTAAACAAATAAATATTAAGCTTTTTCTTTTTGTAAATTTTGATACCCTTTAGATCATAATTGTTCTTTATTTCATAAATTACGGTTCATATTTTTAATTTTGTAATTTCTGCATGCCATCTTACCAGATTTAAACTGATGATCTATAATCCGGAAAAATCGATAATCCGGATTCGCCGAAAGTCCGGATTAACGACTTTTGACTATATATAATAGGACGGCTTTGCTGTATGCAAACAAGCAACCTCTAATTAACTTTCCGCAATTTCAGGATCTTTTCCCTAGACCAGTACTTTCGAAAACATTCCAACCTATTATGTTGAACTGTACTCAGGAGCTGGTTGACTTCGTATTTAATAACAAAGATTATCATCAGAAAGATATTTACTTTATTATACTTTTATTAATCATTTTGTTGCTGTAGAGGAACGATCTGGCTCCAAAACATTTCAAATTCTCAATCACAAAACTGTAAGATCTGTTACAACAAGTACACAAAACAAAAGAACACTCAATTCAAATTACGTAGGTCGAGAGTATAACGCGCTAGCAGCGCCTCCTGTCGGCAACTCTTAATCACTACTGAACATATGTAACCGCTTCTATAAATAGAGAACTCGCGCCATTTTGCAACAGAGAGAGAGAGAGAGAGAGATCGCTTTCCCCCTTTGCTACTAAGATCTGTGCTGCTGCTCATCTGCCTTCCTATGTTAGAATACTATGACGTATTGAATTTAATCTTATTTAGTAAAGAGTGATAATATACTTTTTTACTTGAATAAAGATATGGAGCTGAAAATTTAAATTCTGCTGTGTCATCGTTTCATTGCCAAGCTTCATTCAATGTGCCTGACTGCCAAAATATTACATATACACACACACACTTAAGCATATAAGCATAGGTAATTATGAGTTGAAAATCCATTTTAGTCAAATAATTGCGTTTTATTTAATATTTTCAAGCAGTTCAAGATTTATCTTAATAAGAAACGAAACAAACTCAAATCAGAGTAACAATCTTAATAAACATTTATATATTAATATACAAAAAACAATAAATTCAAAATTTGCTATTTTCTTTTTTTATCTGCTGCACTTCTTTCCATTCCTCTTTTTTATTGTTTTTAAAGTGTATATCATTTAAATTTTCAGGATATCATTCTAACATAGTTTTACTGCATTTAGCAAATTAATCTTACCTGATAAAAAATGTTGAGTTTTTTAAAAATATTTCTGATTTGGACTTAAAATTTTAACAGAGCCCACTGGTTTATACTTTTTCTGATAGAATAAATGCATATTTTGTAATGTATAAAAATTATGTAATTTCTGTACCACATTTGCAGCTTCATTAATGCTTGTGAGACGTGCAGTGAACATATTCTGTATTTGGCTGAATAGTTTTATCTTTTGCCGAAAGCCATTATAGAGACCATTCATAACATAAGCATTATGAAATCTGTGCTCATAATATTTTTAACCTGAAGAGTATCAGCCCAGAAGGGCTATTAATTTTGTTTTGGCATTTTGCGTCAAAAACCTTAAAGGTTCGTTTCATTTTTCAAATTATTTCCACAATATATTATCGCCCTGTGTTATATTTAAAGAAATTATATAATGAAGAATCTGCATAAATGTATGTAAGTTTCTCACATTGTGATAAACAATGTTACCCGGAGCCATCAAATTTTAATTACGTAATCCTCCACCAAATATTGACATCTGGAAGTCATAATTTGGAATTTGTTTTTTTATCAGTTTCATATTTTCTAACACCTTAACAAATTTTTGAGTAACAAACTCCACAATTTCAAAGCGAGCAATGACAACACTGTACAGAAAAAAAAAAAAAAAAAAAAAGAGACATTTTAATCTCCAACGCACAAGACTGTCTATTGGAAATTCTAAAGATATGCTAATTTTAAAATTATTTTCCAATATTGCTGTTGAATTGAATTTTATGGTTTAAGTGCAAAGAACTTGATATTTAATAAATAAAGGTAACACACAAAATGTTAAAAAAAAAAGGCCCCTTTGGGCGTTATGTAAAATCTGAAGGCTTTCAGATTAAAAAAATTTTTTTTTTATTTGTAATTTCTTTTCCATTTAAGAAATTCAGAATGAGTTCTTTCAGTCCTTCAGAAAAATTATCTTTTACAGCTTAAAATCTGAGAAATGTTTCTTGAGTTATAAAATTTATGAGTTCTGAATGGTCATCTCCTGCAATATGGACATGTCTTAAAATAACACTAATTTGATTGCTCTTCAATATATCTTAAGTAGCACTTAATAATAAAGAATAAAAAGGAGATGCAACTATTTCTATTTCACCAAAATTTGTTTTAAATTATGATCAGCACATTGAATTAATTCATTTTACATGGTAGGGCTCAAATATTGCTCACTTCCTATTGGCATTTCAAAAATAAATTTAATAATATTGTAATATTTAGTTAATAATTTAGCATGCAATAAAAAATTCCCATTTTAGCTACTATTTATATCTTCACTATGCCTACAGAAAGTTAACACAATTTTTGATGGCATAAATAGGACAACAAAAGGATACTTCTGCGGATAGTATAGTTTTTTGTTCAGGCTGTTTAATGCTACTGTCAGAGATATATAGATTTTTTTCTAAATGTGATGTTTTAATAATGAAGTCGTCTCTAACTTTGAGAGCTTTTTTTTTCTTTCTTCTGCCTGGTTTTTTTCCCCCTTTTTATTTTTAGGCTCCATTCATTTGTTTTTTTCTCATCCAGTTTAACTAATAATATATATAGTGTTTTATCAGTTGTTATAATTATTTTAATATTTCTTATCCTCAAATTTTATTTGCCAACCAACAACTAATAAAGCAGTTCATAAGAGTATGCAGAACTAAATATAGGACATAGACTGCTGTAGGATGCAAGCACTTAGCCAGTCTGATTGCCCCTTTCATCAAATGCACATATATAATAGCAGTTTTTTGCTTTTTTTTAATACTTTATTAAGTCATAGAGCCATTTGTGGTCAGGTAGGTGGGCTGCCCCATACAGACAAATAAACCTTATTATGTTCAAATGTAAAAAACAAATGCAAATGATTATAAGACAACGGGCTAGTTTTGTTTAGACTGTGAATACATATTTGATCACAATGCTACTTTACTGCAGATTGGTTAATACTTGTAAACAAAAGAATTCATTATGCAGTACTGGAATTAACAGCGAACAAGATAGGTTGCTGTGGCATTCAAATTTTATTTCTAATTTTTATATTATTCAAAAAGAAGATATAAAACGCTTTTATAATTAATAACATAATTTATTCAAGAAACTTAAAATTAAATCTGACATATAAAATATCAAAGATGGAATTCAGCACCAAATTTACTAATTTATGTATGTATGTATATATATAATTCTGAATATATATATATTTCTGAATATTCAAATATAAAATGGGCCCCAAGGCATTCCCTAATCTTTCCTATCTGGAGCTATACCACTGTCATCATGCCATTATTACATATCAAATTATGGCTGATGAAACAATTTGAAATAATTTTTAATAAAATAGATTAGGTGCTTAACTTATATATCAAATAAATTCCTTGAACTGAGCATGAGAAGCTGACAACTGTAATGTTCAAGCATCCACAAGTAAATCACTGTATAAGAATTTCATACACTCAGTGAACATGGTTAAGCCTCGCACCTTATCATTTATTTTTAGTTATGAGTTATCTTCTAGGCAAATACAAATGAGAGTCATAGTTAGGCATATTAATTTCAATAAGCTCAGTTGCAGTATGAGTATTAAATTTGAATAACTATTTAGATCTCCTGCAAAATTTTAGTAATTTAAGTGAAAGGCAAGATGAAAAATGTCATGGAACATAAAATTACAAAAGACATACACAGCGAGGTGGAATATCTATAAGACGGCAGATTGTGTAATATAAATATGAAACCTTTTATCTTGGACATCTTAACAGAATGAATATCAATAAGTTAAGAAAGAATATGAACTGGTGTATATAGTGTAAAGACTTTTTAAAAATCAGATTAGCAATAAAAAGTGATTTTGAAAGATTTTCTTTAATAAAATTTGGTACTTTCTGATTATCCACATCTCCACTGAAAACTTGTGAAAAAGTATTCACGAGGCAAAATTGTATGTTTGTTCTAAATATTATGTAGCAACACAGATATACGTGTAGCATGTCTGTTTTGTTCAGTGCACAATGCCAAGTGTCTGCAGTTCTGTGAAATTTTTGTGAAAACAGATCACTGTATACATGGGGAGAACATCAGCACAACAAAGAAGAATTACTCAGAAAAGGTGTGTTTTTTATTACCAATATTTCTTGCCTTTTCAGTTTTATTGATCAATTGCTTTTGAATGGAATTTTTAGTGTGCTGTCATTTTGAAAATGACTGTTATCTTCTGTGCATTAGCTTGGCAAAAAAAAAAAAAAAAAAAAAATCAGTTGCAAATGAGTTCCGGAATGCTTTGCAAAGTTGCCAGCGAGTTCATAATTTTTTGGTAGGAGTGCAGATAATGAAAAGTACTTAAATTTTTGTAGCAATAAAATGTTATATTTTTTCTTGGAACTTTAAAATATTTTTCTGCTTAGTACTTTCCATATGTAAAAACTTCTCATTTTTCATATATGATTTTTATAAATTATTAAATTAAAAAAAATCATATATGAAAATGAGAAGTATGAGAATGAGAGTAAAAATGTAAAGATTGTATTTAAAAAAAGGTTATATTACAAAGAAATTATTTTATAGATCTTAGGAAGGCTGACGTAGACTGTCTTACGTTAGGACAATACATGCAACCTACTAAAAAGCATTTGAAGGTAAATGTTTGTTTTTTATACATTATATAACACATATGTTATAATATATATATTATTTGATGTTACAGATTATTACCCTATAAGAAGTCGGTTTACAACATAAAAATATGAATAATCTATAATGTATTAAATTTCAATATGATTAGTGTATGACGTTTATATAAATTATAAAACAAAAGATGCAAGAATAGTAAAGGATCATCTTTAATTTTTTGTATTCATAATTTTAAAATGTAATAGGTTTCTTTATACAATTTTAGCATCATTTAATATGCTTCTAGTAAATTATTAATTTACGGTTTTGATATATATATTATATTTACACAGACTATATGATACTTGCATATTCATTGCTATTGGGAACTTCATCTGGCTTCAGATGTACTTCCATATTACAATTATGCCTTCAGCCTTCATTTTCCACATGCTAATCTGGCCCACCTATGACAGAGTGGTAAAGTCACTGAACACTAGTAGGTTGACGTGGGTTTGATTTTAAGTGGATGGGCTGGCTACATGGGCGTTTTCATAGTTTTCTTCATGTGTAATGTGGATACAAGTCAGTTTACCTTATAAAAAGTCTTCCACGAAGGTATCCCTCCTCACAGGAAGATAACACTAGCCCAAATAAACCAAGCCACTTGCTAATCTTATTGTTTGAGTCTAAATGTATCTTGCCTACACATTTAATAGTTTCATTTTTAATATGTGGGATTTATGAAATAACAAAGCAGATGTTGTCAATTTTTGTTCTCTCAGAACTATGAAATGCTCCTCCCTTCCAACAGAAAATGTTTCTAATTCTCTTACAGTGAAGTTATGTATCATTAAAGAAAATATTTTGCAAACATGAAACATTGAAAAACGCAGTTAGATAGTAAGAATGAAAGTAGCCAGCTGATTTGAAAGAAATGGATCACATTTACATGTGCTGTATAATATATCTAGTTTTGGTGAAATTAATATCAGTCAAATTTTCCTAAGCATTGAATTTGGGAAACAAAATTATCTTTGAGAAGTTTGCAGCCTAAACTACACACCAATTTCTCAATAGTAGTTAAAACCATAAAAATGGAATATTTAATAGTGTAATTTATTACGTGTGTAACTAATTTGGTACTTTACTGTATAATATGGAGTTTGAGACTGTGTTTAATCTTTGCGTATTGTAGAAAAAGACAAGTAAGACTAATTACTTTTCAAGTGGTTGGTATGATTTTGCCAACATTTGGAATATTAGTGTATAACAATTCATGTTATTTGTGTTAATTTTATTAACTACCTGTAAAATATTTAGATGAAATGCTTCAATGTCAAAAATTCTGGAAAAACACGAATTGCAACAAATTGTTTCAAAATATTTTTTTAAACTTCCAAACAGTTACAGAATCATAATATTTATATATTCCCTCTTATTCATCCAAAATGAATTTTCCTCTCTTAAGCTGTTTCCACGCATGAACAATTTCTTTTTAGACATAGTGCTTTTTATAGCTACTTTACAAATTATTTTTTAAATCCTTTAGTACTGGTTATTTGAGGTTCAGTGATTATTAAATTCTTAGAAAGTACTGAAGAAAAGCATCAGAAGAGCATAATGAAATATAAAGTTGAATGGTTTTGAAATACTAGTTCCACATATTTTTATTAATTTATAATAATAATTTTCTGTTCATGTGTATAATTTTTGTCATGTTAAAATTTTTTTATTATAACAATTAATCAGACTGTATCAGCCAAAAAAAGCAGTATTTGTGAAATTTCAAAAATATTTTTAATGAAAATCTTGAATTTCAGTAGTATTAATATTGTTATATAAAATGCATATTTCTTCTTATCCATTATTAAAGAATCTTGGGGCTAATAATTAAGACAATTAAGTATGATGAACACCAAATATTTGAGAATTAACAAAAGTGAGAGAGTTCTTAAGTTTACATAGCATGCGTGAATTTTTCCAAGTCCTAACTAAAGTTCATTGTGTCACATGACCTGTTAAAAAAAAAGAAAAAAAAAAAAAAAAAGGAATGTTTAGATTTTTGCAAATCTCGCATCACATGACCTAGAACAGATGCTCCATTTTAAGAATAACTCATGCCCATCTGTTACAGTTATAAATTCTGTTTAAACATAAAAGGAACCATGAGCTTAAGGTTGGCCATTTTGGAAACACTGGACCAAGGACCAAGGCGTTTGAATTACGGAGTACCTTTGCAAACAATTGCAATAACCTGAACATCATCGTTCAGAGAAATGAAATAATTAAGAGAGAAGCAGTCGCTAAAGTTGATGAAAAAAGCAGATAAGCTAAAATTCAAGAATCGTTGAGAGTCCTCTTGTTTGGACACAGGAGGAGAGAACAAGCTTTCATCACAATTGAAGGCATTTAGCCCCCCGTCGTGAGTCATAGATAACAATAGAGAGGCAACCGGAACGCAAAATGCGTGGATGGTTGCTATGGAGACGAATCAGCTGATAGAGTGAGGCACGGTAATCCGGGCCTCAGGAAAGGTAAGATACCTGTATTCAAGCATTGAGCTAAGAGCCTTGGGGTGGTCAGGAGAGGAGACAAACGGAGGTCATTGACCGAAGAAGGAGAAAGAGTCGAAAAAGCGCGGTTGCGGAGGAAGAGAATTAAAGTTAACTGTAGGAAAAACTGGAGTAGATCTTGATCGGGGAAGAACCGAAGGGCGAATTTGAAGTGCAGGCAGAAATGAAGCTTGTATTGCAGATTAAATTGTAATTTAAATTCTGGAGCAGTTAGGTATTGTAAATTACAGCAGTACGTGATTTTTAAAGTAATATTCTAAGTAATTATTTTATGGAATTTAGATAATTAATTTTAATACTAATTAAGTTAAAAATAAAAATAAATATTGTTGAAGTCTGGCAGAAAAGGTCTTGGCAAGGGAAGGTATAAATATTATAAAGCAGCACGGGGATGTTTACACGTGAAACGAAGCCAGATTAGGTCTGGGGGGTGAGAACAATTAAGTGTAGCTGGGTTAGGCCGTGAAGTACTGGTAATTATTTCAGATTAGGTTCCCTAGTCAAGCAAGCAAACCCTTTTAGGCTTTCTAGGGAAGATGTTGTAAGTTCTGTCCATGACGGTCCTAGGTCTTTTGGCAGAACTACGTTCTGCCGGATTGTAAGCTGGAATGGCATGCAAAACTGGGTTACTAATCTGTTCTATTCTTTGAAAAAATTTAGCCGAAACATGCTTGAAAAAAGCATCAAGTGGAGGAATTTTGACGTCAGAATGGAGTACTTCATTGCGAACATACCAGTGAGTATTAGTTAGGATGCGAAGCGTGACGTTTTGAAAAACTTGAATCTTCTTAAGGTGGGAATTGGCTGCTGTGGCCCAAATGGGAGCTGCATATGTTAGGATCGGCATGATGGTACTTGTAAAAGCAGGAGTTTGTTCCGGAGAGAGAGGTGGCTGGTTCTTGAGATTAATTGCATGAGTTGGGTTCTTAGGAAACACTGGAATACATGTAACTTTTATAATTAAATGTTGTTATATATAATGCCTTGTATAATTAAATATACAAATTAAGCCAGAAGAGAGGGAAAGCAAATTACTTCTCAGACATCAAAGAATGGTTCCAAAATGTTTTTCATTTCTTTTGCAGGTAGCTGAATATCTCCCACCTGATAAATATAAATACTGGGAAGAGTATGGAAACCAGTTGGGATTTCTTTATACAGCCAGTGGCCCTTTAGTCCGATCATCGTATAAAGCAGGTAATATTCAGTATTTATTGCAATATTTGCTTCAAATGTATTTTTTCTAATTGCACAGTGCTCTAATTTATTTTTATCTTACTTGCAGGGGAATTTTTCTTAAAAAATCTTGTGAAACGTAGAATTTCTCAACATCAGCTTGAAAATTAAGTACATTTCATTTAGCATTATTGTACAGGTTGTAAATAAAATTTTTTCTTTAAATGAAAAGTTTTCAATATGCAACGGTCCTTCTGTTTGTCATTTTATATGTTCAGTATGTAATACGTATTTATACATTGATCATTGTGTAAGTTACACTATAAAGTGGTACTTAATCATTTGAAATTGAATGATGTAAAGACATACCTTATTAACTTCCTAGAATCCAGCCAATTATTTTAACACAAATTAATTGGAATTTAAGCATAGAAAAATTATGTAATTCTAATTTCCATAATATATTTCTCAGAAATGTTTGTTTCTTTATTCAGATTCAGACTATAGAATACATGTAAAGTAATTTGAAGTTTTCAGTCATGTTTTCTTGTATATGCACAAAATGTACTGTTCATTATATATTTGAATTTGCAGGATTTTGAGATTAAAAACATATGTGGGATTTTAATAACAAGAGAAAGGACTCTAAAAAAATACACTCTGTAACAAAAAAATTGACACACCAAGAAGGACTCATCCTATTGCTTTGAAATTTCATATGCATAAATGTTTTGGCCAAATATGCAAACGATTAAAATTTGGTGTCCAATGAATTAATAGTGCAATCTCCAGTACATCCAGCAGATGTGTATTGGGAGCTGTTCTTGAACTGTTGTTAAAAATTTTTGTTGCATTGCAATTTAGGATACCTTTCAACGACTGAAAAAATGCCTTGCCTTGCCACAGGATTTGAGCTCATTACGAGCAACTGTCAGAGTTTGAAAGAGGTCGTATCATTGGATTGAAAGAGGCAGATTGGGCAAATTCAAGAATCGCTCATCACATGAGTCAAAGCGATGCGGCGATTAGAAGATGCTGGCAAGATGGGTGGACAATGGCAGATTTCAGCATCATGATGGTAGCGGTCAACCTAGGGCCACAACAGATCGAAAGGACAGAGTGATTGTCAGAATAGCTGTCACAATGCCTGTTTCATCGCTATCAACCATCAGATGGATCTTAACTCTCTATTCATATTTTATTTTTGAAATCGAAAGAATCAAACATCATAAGATTTTTAAATTAAAATAAATACTAAACTTTATGCAATTTTTTTTTTCTTCAGGCATTCTGCAAGTATATTAAAAAGCATTCAACTTTTTGAAGCATCTTGGTATCTCTGACATTCATTTTAAATAAAATTATTAAAATTAGTGGTAAAGTCGCTGAACACCGGTAGTTTGCTCCGGGGTTCGAATCTTGACGAATGGACTGGTTGCATGGTTTTTCTCATTGTAATTTCGTCTATTTATGCTAGCTGGTTTCACTTAGAAAGTTCTTCATGAAGGCATCTTTCCTTTTAAGCAGATAACCCTGCTTTGCCGTAGCTTAATAATCCATTTCATCAGTATTTGGTCAGAGCCTTTAACAGTCTTTAGAAGCTAAGCATTTTGAAGGCATAAGATGAAAGGAAAGACTGGTTTCATCAAGAGGGAAAATGTCTTTAGGTGACATCCACATACATCACTAGATAAATTCCTGAATATTAAAATAATTCGATTAAGAAATCATGGGATCCTCCGTTTATGATTATATGATGTTCTATAACATAATTTAAATTTATACAAACATATAGTCAAAAACCAATCTCTTTTCACTTTAATCTGCAATGATTGGTTTTGTCTTTTCCGTTAGCACAAGTTCAGTTGATGGTATTTGCTGGTGTACACGTCCAAGTGTTTTTCTCTTTGAACATCCAAATTCCTTGAAGTATTCTGAAAGTATATTCAAAAGTATCCAACTTTTCGAAACACCTTGGTATTTCTGACAGTCAAATTCCCCTTCAAATTTTTGCTTACTTTTCTCTTTTCCTTCTAAATTTATTTTCAGTGCTCACCGCAAGAAAATAAAGATTTTTCGATTGTTACACTTCCATAAATTTTGTATTCTTGTCAATTTAATCAGTTGAAGATAGCCTTTCATTTTCTAAGCATTTTAACTATAAAGCCACTCGTGTGACCAGTTATTCGGCACAGATACTGTTAAATGACACATAACCTGTTTGTTGAGGGTATAAAAAATAATGTGCACTTTGTATTCAATTTACACATTTCATACCTAAAACTTCTGATTCTAAATGGTAGTATAATGACCAATATTTAATTGTAAACAAATCAATGATTCGGTTGGCAATTATCTTCATAAACTATTTCACAGGAATTATTCATACTTGATATCACAATATGCATACTTAAGGTAGTAAAGCAATTCTTTTTTTAAATCTCTATTGTTGAATTTACAGAAATACTTTAAACATCATGAACACAATTAAATGCTAATGTATGCATTATTGTATTGATAAACTTTAGTTGAATTTAGTTAATTAAATACTTGTTGAATTTTTATGAAGTTATCTGCAATGAACCAACATAATTCAGACCAAATAAAACTAAAGAAAAATTAGGCTAAAATCAATTCAAGCAGAATAGAATCTGCAAAACATAAGTTTCATTTATTGCAGGGTAACATTTTTGTAGTTAAAGGCTAAAAATTTAATGTTGGCAAGTTTCAAAACCTACGGCTAGGTGACATGATGAAAAATCAGGAGAGCTGGAAGCCACGTACAATGCATAAATGGTTTGCTTGATAAACATTAATTAATTGTAATAACAGGATTATACATTACACTGCATAATGCAATACTATTAAGTGATGTAAAATATATTGTACACTACAGAATACTTTCTATGTTAAGCAAGGGATTTTACTGTAGCCATGTCATAAAAAGAAAGAAATGGAAAAAAAAAAAGTTTATATAGACTAAAAATAATAATTCTCAACAAAGCAGTAAAGAGATGTATAAACTAATGCCACATTAACAGCAACAGAGAGAATGTTAGGAATAAAAGATTAACTGTTACTTATTCTCCAATCCTTGTTTACGGACAATTAAAAGTTACAAATCAACTATTAAGAATGCGCATGTATATTTAGTACAAAAAAAGTTTTTCTGGAAAATTGTATTGCAACATAAATCCTTTCCTTTCCAATTTCAGCTACGCAAAAAAAAAAAAAAAAAAAAAAAAACTTAGAGGATGCTCACCCCCAAAATAAAAGATGTTAATTCAAATTTCAGGAAGAAACAAACAAAAAAATAGTTCACATTTTTATTATGAAAACTTTAATTTATTCATTTTCTTCAGAACGCAACCTAGCATTAGCATTTGTTACACGAATGGCAAGTTGCTGTGCTCGTTCAACAATGGTTTTCCTTTTTTTTGAAGAAACTGCATGTCCTATTTCAGCACAGAAGCGGCGATTCATCATCATTAGCATTTCAAGTTCCTAAAATAAAAATATATTTAATATATTAACTTTTCTATTATGCAAATCCTATTTTACGTCATTAAACCAAAAAAATTGAAGGGTGGAAAACTCACTTTCACATTCCTCACAACAACCTTTCGAAAACCATTTGGAAGAATGTGCTTTGTTTTCTTATTACTTCCATAACCAATATTTGGCATCAAACACTGCCCTTTAAACCGTCTTCTGACCCTGTTGTCAATGCCACGAGGTTTTCTCCAGTTGGGCTAAAATTAAAAAACATTAACTTTTGTCAATTTCTTTACAATAGGATTTATCATTTTCTACTCCCAACATATTTACTCTAACAGAGAGGATATAGTAAAAGTTTATTCAAAAAATATAATTAAAATACCAATTTCAGAAGCTAAACATAAATTTTTTTGTGCTGTCTGATGCTCAAGCACAATACCCTAATTCAATAGCCTTAAACTGGAAGGTCTCAAAAGGAATTTTATGTGGCCTGTGAGGGCATTATGGATTTTTTTTGTAAGTGTTACAAAGATTACAAGATTTTAGTTACCATTAAAACCAATGTGAATAATACATCAGAAAATCTATTAATGGAGGTAATTAAATTATGTGATATAAATCTTATTCAAAGATTTGAAAATACAGATTTCATCACCTTTTATTTGCACTAAGAAGAATACAACAGTTCAGGAATGCATTTATATAGGAAAAGCATTTTCACACAGTGGAAGATTAATAAGGGGGAAAAAACCCAAATTGACAAATGAGCACCTACATTCTGTGATCAAGACAATTTTTAGTAATTTCTCTCTAAGACAGATTTCATCAAAATCAAGATGACATCAAATACCAAAGGAATAAAATAAGTTAATTATTTACATACAAACATTTGTTTTTTTATTTATGCACTGAACAAAAATTTAATAAATAAGAGAGAGATTATAAGCTATTATTCTTTATTCTCAAGGTTCTGTCTCACTTAAAAACAAGGCAAAATTTTCATAATTTCTTTGTTTAAAGTAAGTTATTTAATGATTAATTAAACATGTTAGAACTATTTTAAATAAATAGCAATCTGAAAATTTAATATTTAGCTGTAAATATGTGAATTACAAAGTGTAAGCAATAAAATTGTCTTTACCAACTTTAATTTCAATTGATAATAATGAGTTTTTTCCCTTTTTGCTATATATTATTTACATATTAGTAAGCAATTTAAATTATTAAATACTTTTTATTTATAAGTTCTGACTTTGCTAAAAATTTGGCCGTCGTGTTTACAATTGTCATGGCTCATAGGCAATTAGTTTGGACATGTCCACTGATCTAATTATTTTGGCCATGAAAGAACTAGGTCGATTTAAAATTGAATGGTATTTGGCGACTTTTAGAGGCGATAAAGGTTACTACCTGGGACTTGATAATGACCTTGATGGTAATAATGTGAGCAGTACTCAGTTCCGATTACGCATTATTTTGTGTGGGGGAAATGAGAGATCATGGGATATGTCATGTGATATTAATGGACGAATTACGGTTCTTTAATCGGAAAAAGGGGGGAATTTGGACAAGTATCTGTGGATGTATATTATTTTGTATTAAGCTTCATTGTGTGTTGTGTGAAGTAGGGTTGAATAATTTTGGGATTGTATGGCGCTGTCTAAAGTGAATTGTAGATGTGATAAAGAGAATTTTTTTTTATCAAATTCTATCAAATTCGGAAAAAAAAATCGTTCAGTAATTTTATTGAATCCATAATAAAAGTGTATCCACCATGTAAGGAAGATTCGGAAGAAGATTAGGTTAGTTAGACTTTGTTAAGAATGTGAGTAGTATTCAGTTCTGATTACGCATTATTTTGTGTGAGGGAAATGAGAGATCATGGGATATGTTATGTGATATTAATGGACGAATTACTGTTCTTTAATCGGGAAAAAATCTGGCAATTTTGTATTTGGCTTTATTCTGTGTTGTGTGAAATAGTGTTTGTGAATTTTTGGATCCCATGGCCGTAACTAAAGTGAATTCGAAATGGGTATTTAGTGGTATTGAAAAGGATAGTAATAAATGTTTTTTAAGGTTGTGCGAGAGAGAAATAAAGATGTTTATGTTATTTATTTTACTTGGTATCTTGCTTTGAAAGATAAGTATGATTTTAAAGATTCTGAAACAGAAGTAAGAAAAGTGTATCCGCCACGTAATCAAGATTCTGAAGAAGATTAGGTAAGTTAGTATTTTTAATTATTTGAGGATATTATTTTTATGCATTGTTGTAAATGTAAGGTGGAAAGGAATTTGGTATTATTGGGAAAATTGTTATTAGCAATGATTTAGTTTAAAGTAATTAGGATTGTAAGGTAATTTTTATTAATTTAATGTATGTGCTCATTTATATTTTAAGTAGTGTTTTTGAATTTAATTATATTTTAATGAAATGATAGTTATTTTGTGAATTTTATGTTTGTAGGAATTTGGTATACGTTTAAGTTGAAATAATTTAAATATTTGATATTAAGTATTTGTAATGCTTGAGGTATGAATTCGTTGGTGACGTGTATAATGTAATAGATGATTTAGAGGTAAAAGTTTTTGGATATTCTATTTATTTTATATGTGGAAATGTTGATATTTGTAAAGGGTAAATACTTTTTCGCGATCATGTAATTTCATATATGTTCTTTTTACCGGGTTTAAAGATTGAGAAAATTGTCATGTATTTTCGTGAAATTTTTCTAATTTATGAGAAAAAAGCAGTGTACATGGATATAGTGAAGAGTGTGCGCAATGCCATTTTTGTGCAATTCTGGGATGTTTTTTTAAGTAAAAATAAGTCGACGTGTACATGGTTTAGTGATATTTTAATTAAATGATAGTTATTTTGTGAATTTTATGCTTGTAGGAATTTGGTATACGTTTAAGTTGAAATAAACGTGCATGGAAATAATTTAAATATTTGATACTAAGTATTTGTAATGCTTGCGGTATGAATTCGTTGGTGACGTGTATAATGTAATAGATGATTTAGAGGTAAAAGTTTTTGGATATTTTATTTATTTTATATGTGGAAATGTTCATATTTGTAAAGGGTAAATACTTTTTCGCGATCAGGTAATTTCATATATGTTCTTTTTACCGGGTTTAAAGATTGAGAAAATTGTCATGTATTTTCGTGAAATTTTTGTAATTTATGAGAAAAAGCAGTGTACATGGATATAGTGAAGAGTGTGCGCAATGCCATTTTTGTGCAATTCTGGGATGTTTTTTTAAGTAAAAATAAGTCGGCGTGTACATGGTTTATGTGTATGTGTTATTTTGAAAAATGCGTAAGGAGAATGGTATTGTGCAGTTTTTCCTAATTTTGCAGTGAATATTTGTCATGATTAAGCAGTTTTGTTTGATAAAATTTCTAGCATAAGTGTAATTCGGCTAGTAGATTGTTGGAAGAAGTGTTCAGGAGATAAAAAGAAAAGAAACATGTCTTTACTTCGTGAAGACAAAATGGCGGCGGGGAAAAAAAAAATAGAGGGTTGCTGTAGGAGAGTTGGTCGCCAAATTTTCGCCAAAAAATCGCCAAGTTACCATAATGTAAAGATCAACCAGAACTTCCATTAGCTGCTTGCTACCCTAAGGCTTATTAACATCCTATTTTTATATATACTCACATAGTCCAGGTAATCAGATCCCCTAATATCCTGAACTAATTGAAAAACTATATGAATATGAATATATATAATTGGGCTTTCAAAAATACTCCAATTCTATTTTTCCAATGATACAATTCCTAAATTCAGATGTCTTTATAAGAAATAATTTTTAAAAACTAAATTTTCATTTTTCAGAAATTTTAATAGCTGCACATTTTTTTTCCCTCTGATGATATATTCTTTAGCAACAACTGTTTGTCATTAGGCAAATACACACTAGGCTACATTCAAAATTTGTATCTACTTCAATAATATGCTCTGGCAAGGCTTTAACCACTTGAATAGCATTTTATAACTGTTAATTCTCATGTAGGCACTTTAATAGCCATTTTTTTAAATAAGTGTTTTATTATGCTGTTTGCCAATGCTATACTCAATGCTCTAAAATTATGTGGATGGAATTAACTTACTTAAGCCAAACAATCGCTGTCCAATTTCCACTGTTACTAATGAGTTTCAAAACTAATGAAATAATTTTCACAATGTAATACGTATGGATGGCTAAAGCTACAAATAAGTAAAAAGAAAAAAACTCAGAAAGCAAGTCAAAAAGAGAATTTGTACAAAGGGGCAACTATTCAATTTTGTTTATCAATTTTCTATAATTTATTTTTATGTTGCTTAATTACGCTTTGGTTTATTTTGATACTTTTAAGACAGAAAATAATCAATTTGAACTAATCGTAGCTGGAACTATGCAAGATATTACTATATAATTTTTTTAAATGAAAATCTGCTGCAAGTCCATCTAAACAGGCCTGAATTATTTTCAGCATTTCTTTGTTATAACAGCCCTTAACCATATTTGACGATTTTAGATTTGTACCAAGATCGCAGCTATAATTTTATGAAGCAAAAATGTAAAAACGAACACAATATACACACACTACACTGGCCAACAAATTAGAAACCCAAGATCAAGATTTTATTGGACCAGCTTTTGCACGGATAACTGCTCTGATTGGTTTGGACATCAAGTCTATGTGCTTCTAAAGTGCATTTACGCCCACAGAGTACCGTGCATTGTCTCTGCAGCCCTTTAGATCAAGTAAACCTCAGATGGAAGAGGAGAGTGCTGTTGGATGCATCTTTCCACCATTTCACACACATTTCCTAAGGGGTTAAGATCCCGGCTATGAGGTGGCCAGGGAAGGTATTAGAAGTAAGATTGATATTCAGCAAACCAATTTCGAATATTTCTGGCATGATGTACAGTTGCATTATCATTCATAAAGCACCCGCATAGACTCCAACTACTACGGATTCTCCGTAGTTTCTATGGAAATTCATGAAAAACTACGAGCTACGAAAAGTATGGAAAAAACTACGGATTTTACAGAAACAAGAGCAGGAGAACCAGTACGCAAAATGGAACCAACTAATTCATCCGATGATTGGCTGAATACTCGTGTTATCATATATCACGTGTTGAGTGCGTTCCTAGTTTTGAAGAATTAGCCAATTGTAGATCAGTAACTCCAACCGTTAACGACTTATCAATAGTTCCACCCAATTGTCTGTCTCCCAGGTTCCACTCTGATGCGTGTTTAGGCTGCATTCAGCTGCATTGTGTAGTT